GAATTCTAATTACTTTTATTTTGATTTTTTAATATAAATTCAAGAAACTAATTTGGCAAGGTAGATTGATATGTATTAAATTAGTTTAGATTAAGACTTTTCTATTGTCATTGATTTAGTAAGGTAGATTAATTTTTATTTGAATATACACTATCCATTTCATATAAAAATTGCACTTTTCTTATTAATATGTTCAAAACATTAACAAATAGATTTTTTAAAAGTGAAACATTAAAGTTTTTCATGAAAGAGTAAAAAGAAAGCATGTATGTTAATCAAATATTTTCTTATTTTAAAAAATAAAAAATAAATTAAAATAAAATCATCGGTTATTCGGTCGGTTCGGTTTTTGTTACCAAAAAACCGAAAACCGACCGAAAAACCGAAAAAACCGAAATAATTTTTACATGAAAATCGAAACCGAAACCGAACTTCCGGTTATTTCGGTTTTCGGTTTCGCGGTCGGTCCGGTTAATTTGCTCACCCCTAGCTCCTGTAGTCAAGTTGACCACGGTACGGACGCTTTTAGCTGTTGCAGCAGTCAAGGGATGGGAGCTGCATCAGATGGACGTCCATAATGCTTTCTTACATGGCGATCTATAGGATGAGGTATACATGAGATTGCCACCAGGATTCTCAAGTTCTTCTAATGTGGTGTGCAAACTCAAGAAATCACTTTATGGTTTAAAACAAGCTCCTAGATGTTGGTTTGCAAAGTTGTCTGGAGCTTTGAAGCGTTATGGATTTGTCCAGTCTATCTCTGATTACTCCTTGTTTTCATTTGTTGGGAGGAAAGGAGTAATTCATGTTTTGGTTTATGTTGATGATTTGATTATTGCCGGAGATGACGCAGAAATGATAAGCAAGTTCAAGGCTTATTTAGCAAATTGTTTTCATATGAAGGATTTGGGGGTTTTGAAGTTCTTTCTTGGCATCGAGGTAGCACGTAGTACATCTGGGATTTTTCTCTGCCAACGAAAGTACGCCTTGGACATTATTACTGAAGCAGGTTTATTGGGTGCCAGGCCGTTGGGTGCACCGATGGAGCCAAATCATCATTTGGCTCGTTCTCAGGCTCCAGTTCTTGCAGATCCAGAACCATATCGATGGTTGGTAGGACGATTGGTCTATCTCTCGGTTACACGACCCGAACTTTCCTACGTAGTCCACACTTTAGCACAATTTTTGAAGGAACCAAGGGAGGATCAGTGGTCTGCAGCTCTTGGAGTTGTTCGTTATCTGAAGGGATGTCCTGGACAGGGAATTTTCCTCTCTGCAGACAGTAGCCTTCAACTCACAGGATGGTGTGATTCGGACTGGGCAGCATGTCCTTTGACGAGGCGGTCATTGACAGGGTGGTTTGTGCAGCTTGGAGACTCGCCTGTCTCATGGAAAAAAAAGAAGCAGTCGACGGTGGCTCGCTCGTCTGCTGAAGCAGAGTATAGAGCTTTGGCTGTCCTTACTTGTGAGTTGAAGTGGTTGAAGAATATATTGCGGTGTTTAGGGGTTGAGCATAAGATCCCCATGACGGTCTGTTGTGACAGCACGGCGGCACTTCACATTGCTGCTAATCCGGTTTTTCACGAACGCACGAAGCACATTGAGATTGACTGTCACTTCGTTCGTGATGAGCTCTTGCGAGGAGAGATTCGTACACTTCATGTGCCTACTACGCATCAGCTTGCAGACATTCATACAAAGGCACTCGGAAAGTCACGTTTGGAGTTTCTTCTTCCCAAGTTGGGCATTTCGTTATTACATGCTCCAACTTGAGGGGGGTGTTAAAGGAAAGAGAATATTCGTATATATTTTGGTATATATTATTTTTGGTAGCTTCCTTGTATAGGGTGGATTTCGTTTCCTTTTGGACTTAGGTTTCTCAACCTGTGAGAGCCTATATATACATGTCTACTTTGTAAATTGAAGACAAGAAATCTAGAGAGAATTTCCTCCCAATTCATTATTCTTTCAGGGACCAAACAAGAACAAAAAAAATTGGGTCCGAGTGAGCAAAAATAAAGCAATTGAAAAAATGAAATCATAAAGGTGTAAGAAGATTTTTTTCCTTTCTGTATTGAGTAGTGCGCTGGGAATAGGCAGGTTTTTTTCCTATTTAATTACTCCTATTTAGAGAAGTTTATGTTTGAGCTCTTACTAGAGGGTGTTTGTGATTGCATTTGAAAATAACTTATAACTTCTACTTTACTAAAACAAAATTTTGAATGTTTGCTAATTTGCTTTAGCTTATAAATTATGGCTTTAGAAGTTAATATTAAGGTCTAGAAGTGCTTTCTAGCAAAGCTAAAAATACATGCTTTCTGACTTTCTGCTTTTAAATTATGACTTCTACTTTTACATAACTCACCATACTCCCAAACATCATCTGATGATATAACATATGTTTTACTCCTATTCGAGGGGTTTTCTTTATATTTTAGTCTTAATCTTGATTCTTTAGAATTGGCCTGTAAATTATAACAACAGCTTTTGGGTTGCTAGCTACTCCAGAATAAGATCATAATTAATCTTTTTACCTTAAAAAACTCAATATAAATAATTGTTTTATGTATTAAAATTCATACACTAAGAATTTTACAAAAATAGTAATGTCATAATTATTTTATTTTAGTAAATGACCCATCAAAAGGGATACATACACAAAAGTTATTGGAAACATAGAATAATAAAAGTACAAAACATGTTTCGCTCCACCGTTGGAATATCCTACTCTCTCCATTTCAGAGTCAAACTAGAAAAATTTTTGACCTCTGTAAGTAGCAGGTGCAGGCTTCACTTTCTGCCATCGATCTACGAATAAAACCTAATTTACATCCTCTCAGTGACCGTCCGGTCGGATCTCAGGGTCTCTCAAAGATGTGGCTCATCCTTTAAATTGCACATCGCCCTTTCCTTATCACACATTTTTATATAGATAAAAAAGAAAAAATAGATAAGAAATGTAATCCCTCACTCCCAAAATAATTTACTTCTTTATTATTACAGTCTCTCGATAACTTCTGTTTGTTTGAAATTTTGAATGTCTTCACTGATCATCAAATAAAATATTTTTCTCATATCTTATATTGTTGAACTGTTAATTTAATTTTTAAATATTTCATTTTTTATTTATTTAATAATTTTAAAAATTACAGACTTTGGTATCTGGTTCAAATAGTATAATTCATCTTGCAACATAGTGATGTTGTACACAATTTGAAATGTAACTTGGTGTACCTTTAAGATTGTTCTTTTTTTCCTTTTTTAACGTGGTGTCACGGGACAAGACGACAAGCCTATGCAATCTGCACAGGGGGGCCGCCATGAACATTTTAAATTGAAGCCCAACTAAAAAGCTGTTGGTGTCCCCCCCAAATATTTTTTCTAATTACAATCGGGCACGTAATTTATTACCACTCCGAATTTAATACCCTGCCCCGCCAACGTCGGTTTCAAATAATTTAAAAATCCGATGTCTGTTAAGAAATTGTTTGACCAGATCCAAATAAATGTGTGTATAAATAGAGGGAAGAGTTTTCATAAAATTACAGTAATTTAATTAAATTTAATTTAATTTAAGGAAGAAAAAATGGTGTCAAGAATGGCGGCAGAAGAAGAGGGGAAGAAGAAGAGATTAGAAGGAGGGGAAGAAGAAGCGGCGCCGCACTGGGCGGCGGCGACGCAGAGCAAGAAAGGGAAGGGCCGCCAGAGGTTCAAGAAAAGCTTTTACTCTCAGCTCCAAGACGACGGCGCCTCCTCCGCCATCCTCCTGCTCGCCTGCATCGCTTGTGGCGGCCACCGCCGCCCCGTCTCCGCCGCCGCCCCCTCCTCCTCCGTCTAGGGGGGGCAGCGGTCGGATTTCAATCCTATAATGATGGTGAACAGTACGCGTCGTTGTTACAGGGTATTATAGTCCAGTATTTATCGTGTCATCTCAAATTCTTAATTACGGAGTAGTATAAATTTAACGAGATGTAAAAAAAAATTTACTCCGCAGTAATAATAAAGTCATTAGTTTAATACCCCAAGTAGAAAGCAAAAAATCCCCAAATAGGGAAGAAACATTGGATGAGTTTGAAATCCGATATTTGACAGAATAAAAAAATGAAAAATGCTAGGGTACACCAAATGTGTACCCCATTTGTCCCCCGCCTCCTCATTGTCCACACAAAAACGACAAGAAATTCAAAAAAAATAAATAAATAAAAATAAAATAAAAATGGGTGGTGGAGAAGTGGGTGGTGTACAAATGGGGTACCCCAAATGGTGTACCCCTAGCATTCCTCTAAAAAAATTGGTATCACCCATTTATTTTTTATATATTTTTCCAGCAGGTGGATATTATTTTCTATTTCTATTACTATTACATTTTAAAAATTTGCTACTCCCTCCATCATATGATAATTGTCTATTAAGGATTATTTGATACAATAGATTTTGAACGAATATAGATTTAAATATGTCTACGTTTATTCAAAATCTAATGTATCCAATACATCTTGATAGAGAGCTTTTGTCTAATGTTGAAAGTATATTCTAACTCCTAACTTTTGCGTACATTGAGTTAGCAGTTTGTAACTTGTGCGAACATTAAATTTAGGAGTTGGAATAAATTTTTATTGTTTTTGCGACATTGAAATATTTTAATGATCTTCGGAGTGAATATGCTACTTTCGTGTTGCGACACAAAACATATTATGCGATGTACCTCGATCTGATCAAAGAGCTTATTGTAAGACATTGTCACAATTCAATAATAGTCACTTATAGCATCCAATGACTCAAATATTGTCATAAGTATCACACGTTAATAACAGAACTTTAGACGAATCCTAGTCAGATAAACGTGCACGACCTTATTTTGTTAATCATTGTAAGATTTATTAACATGGTTAATTTGTTTACTACCTCCATATGAATCAATACTTCTCTTGAAAATTGTACTTGCGTGAAACTCGTAAAAAAATATTTATATTGATAGCAAGCCTATGGACTAAAATATTTATACGTCAAAGAGGTATTACCAAGTTTACAGTATTTTATCTATTCATATAAAATCTTATCAAATATTTTTTCTAACATGAAAGGTCTTACTCCCTCCGTCCCATTTTATAACGCCTGTTTCGGTTTACGATGTTTGACTGAAGTTATTTTCAAATCATTTTATATGACAAATGGTATAAAATTAAAAAATAAAAATTACATATCAAAATACAACATCAAAAGATCTACAAAACTAGTAGTGACAACAATATTTTATTTTATCAAATTGCTAACGAAAATAGAGAAAGAAAGTGAATGAAGTTTGACCCTGTGAATAGTGAACAGGCATTATAATTTGGGACGGAGGGAGTATTATTTTTTTAAACATTTATAGTACCAAAATTATTCTCACTCTTTTTATTTATTACACTCACTCATTTCATTTAACTAGTATTTTAACCCGTGCAACGCACGTGGTTAGACGAAATTTTTGACACTTCTGTAAATTAACTTCAATGCAATATTTTAAATTGAATTTATAAAAAAATATATAATATATTTTTTTATTACTAAGACATTAAAAACAAAATAAAATAAATAATTTAGTATTAAATATTTTGTAATGAATATTCTTATATTCAAATTCAAAAGTGAACATCTCAAAGATTTTCTAAATCTATATTTTGAAAGACTTTTGGGTATATAACAATTTTGGTGTAGTTGCAAGGATTTTCGTTATCATCTAAAACTAATATTTTTAATTCTGTCTTTCTTTCTACTCGCGAAACATCACTGCAAGTTGATCATAAGTGAACACCGAATTAGTTAAATATAATCCAACAAATGATAATGTTTGACTTTGACTTTATTAAAAGTCATAGCAAAACATAAAACATTAGGAATTGTCTTTTCTAGAATTTTAAGATTAATTGTAGATCAGATGGTACGAAATTCATTATAGGTATGTAAACATTTTTCTCGACCCGTTTTTTCAAAATCACAATTGCACCGATAACATTATTGCGTAGCTCTTCAGCGATTAGTCTTGTCTCATCACACAATTCAGATATTTGGTCAATGTTTCTCAAT